CATCTTGCGGCCTCTGCTGACCCTCGGCCTGCAGCTGTTCACTTGATTCTTCGTGGACATGCTTTCCCGTCTTTGAAAGTCGTGAAGTCGTCCTGAGGCTGCGAGGCCGAGGAAGTTGAGCCTCCCTGGCTCGGCTGGGCGCGTAGCCTCGGGAAGCCGTGTTGCGTGATCTGCCTGCTGGACGCGGCCACAGCTGGGCGGCTCGCAAATTCAAGAGGTCTTCCCTGACTTGACACCTCACCGAACTGCTTCTCGGAGAATGCTTTTGCCGCTTGCACCTCACTGCCGTGTGCCAGACCCAGCAGTGTCCAGCCCACGCTTTCTGCATTCTTCCAGCAGCTCCCGCGTCTCGGTAGGATCGGAGAGGTGGACAACCCCAATGGGCTGAAGCAAGACACATGGTGGGGCAGATACAGAGCCGGATCCACTTGCAGCGAGTATACCGGGTGTTCAAAGCAATGGCAGAGGTGGCAGACACCAGGGACTCCAGGGACCATGGTGCAGTTGCTCCAAACTGCATTATCAGAGATCTGAGATCTTGCGCAAGAGCCGCACAAAGGAATCCTGCACAAGTTTAGGTCAATCGCCACATCAGCTGCCTCCACCCAACGGACCCAACCTGCACAGTAAAGATGGGCCCAAGATGGTCCAAGCCCCCAGCACTCCTCGGGTCCGGGTCCTCGCAGGCAAAGCTGTGAAGTCTCTGCAAGATGCCATGCAGGCTGCTGGGTGTCTCGTCACTCTGGGCAGCAAACCCATCACAACAGGCAGCCAGTTTTTCTCTTGAGCAGGTTATCGAGTCATCATACCTCTCTTTTCAAACTTTTCCGCTCCCGATCCCGGCTGCCTCCGCGCTGGATCCAGCACCAGACGAGGGCGGCGGTGGCGGCGGTGGCGGCGGCGGTGGCCGCGGCTCGGACGCATCCTTGTACTCCGGACAGCAGGAGTGTTGGCAGCCCGTCTCTGAAGCCTCTTAATCGCCTGTCGATCTGCCAACTTCTGCACCGGATCCTTGATCCCAAATTCCCTATATAGATCAGAACTGGTGACGTGCGTAAGGTGTGCTGGTTTGTTTCACAAAGCGCGAATCTTTGCAGCATGCCATCACATCTTTGTTGGATACCTCACCATGCTCAGGTGCGCGCGTGTGTGTGTACACACGCACAGACACACGCACAGACACAGACACAGACACAGACACAGACACAGACACAGACACAGACACACACACACACACACACACACACACACCCACACACGCACACACGCACACACGCACACACGCACACACGCACACACGCACACACGCACACACGCACACACACGCACACACGCACACACACACACACATACACAAAAAAAACAAAAAGAACAAAAAGAACACACACACACACTCACATACACACACTCATACACTCACATACTCACACGCTCACACTGATATTCACACTCACACTCTCGCTCTCGCTGTCACTCTCACTCCCACACACTCTCTCTCTCTCTCTCTCTCTCTCTCTTCTCTTCCGCCTGGCATGAGGGGCTGTTAAGACCCCTCGGCCACTAGGGCCCCATATTTTGTGGGGACTTTGGAGGAGTGTGAAATCGTTTTCGCAGTTGTTTCCCCCGGGCGGATCAGTTTCCGGTTAGAAAAACAGCTCCTAGGTAGAGTAACAAGGTGTGATCCCCCCAGGTACCTGTGACTATACTCTACGTACAGTTCTGCCAGGAACGGTCCGGGATTTCCTTTGCAGTTCGGCCAAAGACAAAACAACGTGGTACAACATATACCTGATAGCAACACACTCCAGATTTCCCGTATGACCGTCTTCAAGGCACGACATGTGTCATGACAATCTCTCTCTCTCTCTCTCTCTCTCTCTCTCTCTCTCTCTCTTGCTTGCACGCAGCCAAGAGCAGGTCTCGCAACCTACTCTCTCTCACTCTCTCTCTTCTTCTCTCTCTCACCTTCACTCAGCTCACATTCACTCACTCACTCTCACTCACTCTCACTCACTCTCACTCCTCACTCTCACTCACTCTCACTCTCACTCACTGTCACCTCACTCTCCCCTCTCTCACTCTCACTCACTCTCACTCGCTCTCACTCGCTCTCACTCACACTCACTCGCACTCACTCACACACTCCTTCACACTCCTTCACACACACACACACACACACACTCAAACTCTCACTCACTCACTCTCGCTCACTCACTCGCTCACTCGCTCTCACTGACTCACTCTCGCTCACTTACTCAGCGCAGCCAAGAGAAAACAATGCAGGACAGCCTGGCAATCAAAACTATTGCCCAGATCATTGCCGTGACTATTTCTACCCTGTGATGCAAGGCCTCCTCACGAGCGTCCTGCTCTTTCCGCGCTTGCGAGCCATGCGTCCGGCCTGCCGAGACGGGTTTCTCAGTACAGGGAAAAGCTGAAGTCATGGTCCGCTCTTCCCTGGGCCTCCATGGATGCCCAGGAGGGCAGCCTCTCGACGGACCTGAAGAACAGGGGAGAACTCTTCCTCTGTCGTCCAGAGTGTCTCCCACCTGCTCCAGAAGCTCCGCGTCCCCGCACTCCTCCGCGAACTCGAGCCTCTTAGAGGCACAGCGTCAAAGTACACTCCCTGGAGCGGAAGGACCCTGCAAAACCTCTGCTCCAGATCCCGGCGCTTCTCCAGGTTTCGGAGGAGCTCCTGCTCCTGCCTCGCGAAGACGAACACCCACATCTCGATGCTCTTTGACAGCTTATGGCTCTTATCCCCGGGGCCGATCCGGGCCGCCGGGCTCACGCAGGGCCTCCAGCACCTGGCCGCAGCGGAAGCGGAGCATAGCGAAAGGGCCCTCCTCGTCCTCGGCACCTGTTCTAGCACTTCGGGCACTTCCAGGCCGAGGCTCGCGGCGTGCTCCTTCCAAACCTGCAAGGAGAAGGGGGGGTGGCCGGCACGTGCGACTCCCACCGCTCTACTCCCTTTCTGGCTCCTCGATGTCGTGTCGGTCCTTCTCCCTGAGGGCTCTCCGCAGGCATCGCCAGGTCCTGCTTTTGAGCTCAAATGCAAACCTCGCTGAAGGCCCATGTCACTCTGCCTCGACACTCCTAGGTCGTCTGCTGCCGAGTGTCAGCATCGCCTCCTCCGACTCTCGCAAGCCCTTGGCAGCTTCCTCCGCTGAGCAAGGCACACGGACACTAGCCGCGAACTTGGGGACAGAATTGACTAGACGAATGTCGCATCGAAACGAGACGGTTGGGACCGGCGACCGAGGTTTCACAAGACTGACTTTGCTCTATCAGCCACTCATGCTAACCCGGCGCTGCACTTGACATTCGTATCTTAACAATACTTCCATTGCATGCCCGCAAGGGGAACATATTGTCCTCATACCTTACAAGGGAAAACGGCATTGCCCTGGCCGTGTGCTGCCGCCTCCAGGGAGATGGAGACCACGCTGAATTTTTTGGCCTGCAGGGTTGGTCATCCCGCAAAAACATCTGCCACTTGCCTACCCCTGCGTTCTGAAGCTTGTGGGGTCGCGCACGGATTCGGAACTGAAAACGTAGGGATAACTACGAATTCGGAAACTAAACGTTTCTGAGTCCGAGTGTGTTCTCTTGCGGCCTCGCGACCTTGCGACTGACTTCTATTGCACAGCCAACTGAAAGAAAGCTCACAGCTTGGCCTCAGCCAGTGCCACGAGGAGCTGGGATGCATTGCCCTCCTCCGGCACCATGCTTACACACTAGTACTAGCCGTCACCGGCGCATGACCCCAAGTGTGAGCCCTTGCCTCAGCTGCCGCAAGGAGTGTCGCCTCAAGCTGATGCGGAGGTGTTTGGTCCTTCGAGTCTGCGGGATCGCCTGCGTCTGGGAGAGCTCGGGCTGAGAAGCTGCCACTTGAAGCTGATCGCTATCTGAAGCACCTGACCATCTCATCATCTCACACCACAGCCACCACAGCCCGCAAACAGGACTCAACGACCGCTTCGCGGCTCCGCCTTCGCCAGCAGCCTCAGCGGAAGCCTCAGAGCTGCGCAGAGCAGCTCGGCAAAATGAAGAGCTGAGTGTTGAAGGCCATTGCCCACAAGGCCATCTGCATCTGCATCTCATCCAAAAGCCTGTTTATGGATATGCAAACAACACTTGCCAGAAGCTCCGGCTTAACTCAGCTGTGGGCTCTCCTGCGCTGAGCAAACTCGCATGCGCTGTGGGCATCCTGCTCGAGGATCCGGACCATGGCATCCTCGGCAAATGAAACCCCGGCACCCCGGTGCTTCGGAGACGTTGTCTGGCACTTCTCTCTGCTGGTTGCGGCCGGGGTGCTGCTTCTTCCTGTCCAGACTGTCTTCGAATTCTCTCAGAGTCTCAGAGATTCCAATTGAGGCTGAGGGATCAACAAATTCAAACGGGGATCAAAAAAGCTCGAATGCCTTCGTTTTAAAACAAGTCAACAGAAGGATCAGCAAATATCACATCTTCTCCATCTGCTGTCCAGCCAGCGTCGCAGCACTGATTTTGTTTTCTTGGTGGTAGGGGGGTGAGTGAGTGTGGGAGTGAGAGTGAGAGTGAGAGTAAGAGTGAAAGTGAGAGTGAGAGTGCGAGTGCGAGTTTGAGTGTGAGTGTGAGTGCGAGTGTGAGTGTGAGTGTGTGTGTGAGAGAGAGAGAGAGAGGGCGACGGCAGTATGCACAATCCGAGTAACTAGAATACGGACGGCAAAAACTAATTAATGTAACAACAGTAATAGGTTATTCCTAATGTTTATAGCATACTTGCAATAGCAAAAACCTATAACGAACATCAAGTACTAGTCGTGGGACCCTGGCGCGTTCGCCGCCCACGGTGTTTTCCTTCATTTCAGCCGTTCGACACGATGGGATTTGCGAAGGTTCCGGTATCGGCATTCAGATTTTTCGGGGCCTTTTCAGGGGGTTTGCAAAATTCCGTTGTTTTTTCTGCTTCGGAGGTTTGGCTCCGTTTTCTTGCTCGGGGATGAGGGGTTAGGGATGGGGGGGGGGGGGTGGCAGGCGTCTTTAAATAGGGTCTATTTGGCAGCCGCTGGAGGGCTGTGTTTTTTGCACATCAAGTGTGCTTTATTCTCATCACCACCAGACTCCGCCAGACACGGGTGACGTAGCACAGACTCCATGCGTGCATTAATTGATCGTTGAAAATGTCTGCGCTCTCGTGGGGCTAGATGGTATTACCTGCGACATACAAGCGGCGGCCACTGCGCCCAAAGTCGTTGTGAATGTAATGGTAAGTTTAAACAATTCAGAATGTCCACGAACTTCTTGGAATGGCGACAGAAGGGCTCAAGAAAGGGTGGAGATTCCCCCAACCCTCAACGAAAACACGGAGAAAGTCTCTCCAAATCATTCAGCTGATTTTCTAGCAGCGAGTCCTCCCCCTCCGTGGTAAGTCTCCATCTCCTCTGACGAATAAATGAAGGAGCTCGCTGCTTCGTCATCCAGCACGAAATGAGCTTCTTTTCCCCCCAAAAGGTAAGGAAGAGATCCCTTGGCACATCCTCTACCGCAGCATCTCAACTGAGCAGAGAACCCTTTCCCAACTCACGAGAAAAAAAGAACTCCGGCTGCCTCTTGTCGACAAGAGAGAAGAGCTCCTTGTCGTCCCTCTTCCTACTCAAGGGATAGAAAGAGGATAGCTGCAAGAAGTGAGGACTGAGCGTCTCAATCTTCAAAAGAGAGTCTGATCCTCCCCTTAGCCTTCAATAAGACATGGCAGCCCTCTACCCCATCCTCTGAATTAGTTCCAAAAAATCCTTTGCCTCATCCTCGACAGAAAGAGAGGAGAGCTTCTCCAAACTAATGGGACAAAAGAAAGCGCCATCTCAACAAAGCAAAACAGGCCCGCTCCAACTTCACGAGAAAGAAGAGGGCTCCGTTTTACCCCTCGGCAAGAAGAAGAGACCTCCTTTCTTTCTTGAAAGGGGAGGACACTCAAGAAAGAACAGGTGGAGCTCCCCCAATTTCAAGTAGAGACATCTGGTCATCCCTCAGCATTTAAAAGAAAAAGACCTCATGCTCCAACAAGAAGGAGGGTCCAGGATATTTCGTGGCAACAAAAAAGAAGAGCATCCTTCTTACCTCTTGGTATGTCCCTTTCGTCTTAAGGAGATTGAAAGAGACCTCGCTCCTAGCAAGAAAGGAACGATAGAGCTCCCCTAGCTTCCAAAAAGAAAGATTGCTACCTCATCCTCCCAAGAAATCAATGAGAGCTTCCTCCCATCCATCTCCTCCTGACGATTAAATGAAGGGAGCTCGCTGCTTCGTCATTCGCAAAGAAATGAGCTTCTTTTTCCAAAAGGGTAGGAAGAGATCCTTGGCACACCTCTACGGCAGCATCTCAAATGAGCAGAGAACCCTTCCAACGTCCACGAGGAAAAAAGAAAATCCGGCTGCCTCTCAGTCGACAAGAAAGAGAGAGGAGCCCCTTGTCGTCCCCTCTTCCTCCTCAAGGAATAGAAGAGAGATAGCTTTCAAGAGTGAGACTGAGCTGGTCTCAATCTTCAAAAGAAGAGTCTGAATCCTCCCTTAGACCTTCAATAAGACATGAGCAGCACCCCATCTACTCCAAAAACTCATTCTTCGACAAGAAGAGATTGGAGCAGCAATCTAAGGCGGCAGAAAAGAAAAGCGCCATCTCAACAAAGCAATCAACAGCCGCTCCAACTTCACGAGAAAGAAGAGGGCTCCGTTTACCCCTCGGCAAGAAGAGACCACTTCTTTCTTGACAAGGGGAGGGACGCTCAAGAAGAAAGGTGGAGCTCCCCCAATTTTCAAGTAGAGACATCTGGTCATCCTCAGCATTTAAAAGAAAAGACTCATGCTCCAAAACAAGAAGAGAGTCCCAGGTGATTTGTGGCAAAGAAGAGAGCCTAGCATCCTTTTTACCTCTTGGTAGTCGCCTTTTCGTCTTAAGAAGATTGAAGAGACCTCGCTCCTAGCAAGAAAGGACAGAGCTCCCCTAGCTTCCAAAAAGAATTTTCTACCTCATCCTCCACAAGAAATCAACTGAGAGCTTCCTCCCATGTAATGACGCAAGAGAGCTTCCATCTCAGCCCAGCAGACAGGCCTCTCCAAGTTCACGAGAATTCAAAGGCTCCGTTTACCCCATCGGTCGGAAAGAAATAACTCTCCTTTCTCTCTTTCATAAGGGGTTGGATCTTGCGCATTTCTTTGCCTTTTCAAAGATGGAGAACAGCATACGCACAAGAAGAAGAAACCTCCTTTCTCTCTTGGCAGTGGAAAGATCCTGATTACTCCCTTACCTTTTCAAAAGATGGAAAAGGGCATACGCTCAAGAAGAAAAGGCGGACATGCCCCCCCCCTCAACGAAACACGGAGAGAGTCCCTCCAAGTCATTCAGCTGATTTCTAGCAGCGAGCTCCTCCCTCCTTGGTAGGTCTCCATCTCCTCTGAAGAGAATCGAAGGAGCTCGCTTCTAGTCGAAAGACAAGGCTCAACGCATCTCCAGTTTCAAAA